ACCTTGCTTCAAGAAACTCCGAATTGTCCCTATTGGCTAGAAGCCTGGAATCTAACGGGCCGAGGGGGGCGGTTGTTTTTTTTTTTTTTTTTTTAAAGCTATTGTGTAGTTTTTTTGCTTCTTGTATATGTATTTTAAATATTTTTAGTTTATTTTTAGGATTTCATCATAAAAAAGAATTAAGTATAAAATTAATCATTCTTTTTTTGAATTAATTTTGCACCTTTTGTTACCTTTTATGGAGAAATAACCAGAGTGCCTGATAAAATAATTAAATAATTAACCAAAGCGCCTTTTTGTACAAAGAGGATCAAAAAATAAAATTTCCAACACTAAAAACTTGGACATGAAAATCCAATCCGGGAAAAAAACATTAAAAATTTGGATATGAAAGGATAAGTAAATTATTTTCCATTTATATAAATAAAATAAAATAAAATTGTTCTTTTCTTTTTAGGGAAAAAAAAAAAGATAACTAATGTTTATTCTTGGCCTGGAAAAAGAAAGAAAAAACTCATGGGAATGGTCGATATATTGTTGCTGTTGTGCTTGTAAAGGAGATAGACTCCCATGTGCTTTTTAAGGAAGCAAAAGCATTTGTAATTTTTTTATGAAAATTTCAATATTTTTATAATAAAAGCGCTTTTCCAAACAGGCCCTCATTCACGGGGGAATTTTGCACTTAACCCTCTCAAATTTTATACATATCACAAGGAAAAAATGGCTTACCATTTCTATATTTTGTTGTTGAGAAGAAAATTTCATAAAACTATTTTTTCCTTTCCGCTCAACAGAATCTTAAATTTGAATCTCCCCTCCGCCATTGATAAAAATAAAAAATACAGTGTCGGTAAAAATAAATGCCATATATATTCCAAGTTCCATCTGTCCATTTCCGGCAGTCACAATTTACATAGAAGCTCAAAACAAAGGGGGCAGAACTGTCATTGGGTCAGAGTGAACAGTTTGATCCAAAGCATATACATGTATAAATTAACTCAACTAATGACAGCTACCTCCACTTCTATCTTGAAGGCCCAGAAAAACAAGTCAAAATAAGACAATTACAAAACATACATCCAGTTTAAACTAAAAACTTTTCTATCCCGCTATGAGTTCTAGTTTCTGCATTTGAAATTTCTAAAAGGAAATGAACTACAACCAAGAACCAGATGGGGTCTCAATACTTACTGCCTACAATGAAGCTAATCAACATACAAACTACGAATCCACCTGTGTCGGCCAGTAGAGGTGAATTTGGAATCTATCTCGCACTGCCAAAACGGCCTTGACATAATCTACAAATTACAATAAAACAATGTGTCGATCCCGAGAAACTTCTGGTTCATAGCTCTAGCCTTTTCTGAACAATCAAGGTCGATTCATCTGCAGCACATGTTTCCAGGAAAAATTATATTAAATTCAAAAGCTTCATAATCTGTGTGTGTGTGTGTGTGTGTGTGTGTGTGTGTGAGAGAGAGAGAGAGATAGAGATGGCAGTTAGGCATGCGTGACCTCATTATATTGGTTAAACTAAAAATTATTGCCCAAGTAGACTCAAAGCCAGATATACCCCCAACTACTTTTATAAGGACATTTACACTTCTCTTATCAAACAACAAAGTTCAAATGCGCGCATATTAGAATTTAGAAGCGTCCACAAACACATGTTATGTGTGCAACGTGGGAGTTCAGGTAGGAAGAGAGAGGTTTTGTGCAGGGAAGGAGACTGAAGTGGTTGAGAAAGAGATACCGAGTAGAAGTTGAACAGAAAAACTAAGGTAATGTATAATCATCATACTAACTTGTTTAACAACAAAGGGGAATTACAATTGTGAGACTAGTCATTGTCGTTTTGCCAGAAGTAAGCACTTCAACTCAAGCCAAGACAATAAATTCACTGTAAAAGATAAAATACCATCTGAACTTTACCATCTTCGCGGAATTTCTTCCTTTTAGCGTCTTCATTGCCGCGTCTGCAAACGCCTGCGCCGCATCAGCATCAGCTTCTGCAGCCTCAGCTTCCCGAGCTGCCTCCTCAGCTTCTGCAATGGCAGCTTCGGCTTCTTCAACTGCTCGAGCAGCAGCTGCAGCAGCCTCTCGTGGGGTCATCGTCCTCATCTTTGCAAGCTCTAAATCAATCTGCGCTTTCATAAGCACGGTGGCATCATCCTTATCGAATTTTGGAGAAACCATCTGTCTTCCCTCGAAGGGATACATTGAGGAATTTCTTCTTTTTTCAGAAAACGCTGGAGTAGGTGCAATCCTGTATCTGCGTTTTACCTGTGAAAACAAAAAAACATACTAGAAATTAAATCAAACTCGAATCAGTCAAGCCCCTATATTGAACATAACCAACAGAAGCTCTGTCAACCACATTCAATTCCAGGTGTATGATGAGTGTGTGTAAACCCAGGGCAACAACTCTTGAGGAATATCATGTTATAAGTAGTGTTCTTTATTTATTTTAATTAAAGAAAATCCCAATTGAAACACACGAACAAAATAATATTGTAGACTAAGTAAATCAGATATCATCCAAGTACCAGTAAGTATTAAATATAATAATATCCATGATATTACTCTTTCTAGCAAGAATGAATATTAGACACAATATTTTTGGATCGTCATCAAAACTTCCATATTTTTAGATCGTCCATATTTCCATCAAGATCCATATTCAATATGAGATATGACCATATATAAATCATATTTATAACTGATAAGCAAAAAGTGGCATTACTTTTCCATTTTTGTCCAATGATGCCTAAACAATGCGATGAAATAACAAATCATTGACAAACTCTCTTGAAGCTATGTTTCATAAATCATGTCTTAACACCTTCATTTACTTATCTAAAAGTTGGTCTAATATCCTCTCTCACAAATAGGTAGATATACACGGCATGGCACACATCCGATGATTTTAATAAAGCTTTAATGTGGAATGAATTAAAATTTTACAACAAATTCAATCACCCATATCAACAGCACATTCAAAGCTTGGAGAACAATAAGCCATCAAAGGAAAGCTGCTTCTTTTTGGTTTATCTGTACTATATCTAAGAAAAACTAAGGTACAAACTCCGTCAGTACACTACCAAGAAAAAATAAACCAAGTCTGGATTGCCAACATTCAAAAATGGATCACTAAAGAGAGAAATAATAAATATAGGAATAAAACAATGATATCAGAATCCAACATGAATATATTAAGCCCTCGTGGAACCAATATCATGGAAGCACTACAGAAACGCTGAGATCGGACTGAAATCCTTATCATGAAAACCTAAACCCTAATCACAGTTTAACAAAAGGGGGAAAAATTGGAGTAGGCAATCCCAAAGCAAGAGCTTTGTGATCTCTCTCAAGCTTAGTTTTTCGGCCTTGTCCCCAAATTGAACAATGAAAACACGAAGGGGAGGGGGGGCAACTACGTAAAAAAAGGAAAAATGGACCAGGAAAAGCAGGACAATAAAGGAGAGATAACATACCAGTTTAAATTGCTATCTGTTGACTCAAAAAATAAAGTTATTGATCCAAGGTGTCTAGATAGCGATTTAATCAGATATAGAAAAAGTCCGAAAGATTAGTGGAAACTAGAACACGTTAAACTATTTTTCTTGATTTTTGAAAAGGAAAAAAAAAAAAGAATATAGGAACCCCACAGCCATAAAAATGGAATTCAGCTCTCTACACCATTAGGAGTTGAAGCAGACAACCTGAACCAAGGGGCAAAGGTACTACTGTACTACATGGGCCATAACAGTTTTAGAAGTTGCACTTTATCATGTGCCCAAACAGATTGACTGGTTAAAGAAAGATAAAATCTAGGATGACTGCAATACTGTTTAAATATTTGATCCTCTAAACCTCATTAATTAATTCCGACAATCACCTTTAAGGAAATTTCAACCAGAACAACTACTCATTAATTAAAATTGTGTTCCTTTCTTTCATGTAGAGAGTAAATGGACATAGCTCTTAATATTATTAAATAATACAAATTATTAATATCACGTGGGGCCTTGTAGCTCCAGTGGTAGTGAGAATTTACTCCTGCAACGAAGGGACCTTCCATCCCCCTTTGGCCTCAGTAATATTATTATTGTTCTTCTTATTCTTATTAACCAGAACTTTTTAGTAGTCCACAACCACAACCAAGGCCAACCATCCCATTCCAAAGAATAAATTACTGTTTAACCA